AACATATCCACGTCATGTCGTAGGTCAAAAAAAGGAAAAGGAAGAAGGAGGAGAAGGAGAAGGTTTGTCCAGTGAAAATAAACAATTGTAAAAGTTACCTTATATTACTCGATTGTGTTAGACAAGTTTTTGATCAAAAAGTTTCGGTCGATAGCCACAAAATTAATGGTATTCTGTCGGAGGTCACAAACAATGTTTCGACTGGAATTGAATAGGAGATGTTTTTCACTGGTCTCACTTGCTATCCTCGGGTGGAAAAATAATGTGAGAGAAAAGGACCTTTTAGGGAAAATGATGATAGGATAAGTAATTAAAAAGAAAATACTAAAAAATCTACAAAATATTGACCACAATCGTAATTTCAAATAAGAAAATACCTTTATAAATTATTCCACGAAGATTTTAAAAAAATATTAAGGATTTCGTGTTGGCATGACTTTTGCTTTTTATAAAAAAACTTTTGGAGAAAGCTAGTTTAATTTTTGTTTGAAAAATGATTTTTGAGAGAGTGATTTAAGAAAAAGTTACATTGGACCAGTTTCATCCAAAAATATTTCTAACTAAAGAAGCTCTTTCAACAAATTAGTCGAAACAAAGCCCAAATCAGCTTTTGGATTTCGAAAATTTCTTTTAATTTCTCAGAAGCCATACCAAACAAGCCCAAAACATAATCCAAAACTCAACGAGTCCAGTTGATAAAATTTTAACATAATTCATCTAAAAAGTGCTTAGTATGCCTGTTTGGCGTTGATAAAACTTATATTTTTAGAAGATTTTGATAAAAAGTAATGAAATACGTAGTTGAATTCATCCAATGGGATATGTGGTTCGAATTAACCCTCTATTTGATTACTACTGATTACTACTAAAATGAGTTTTTTGCGAAAAAATGATTTTTGTAATAGTGATTTAATAGAGAATGTGTAGTTAAAAAGGTAGGAAAAAAAAAATTATATTTACATGTAAAATATATTATTGTGAAAATATATAATTAAAAATAAATTTGAAAAATGATGAATTTTATTTTCATGATCGTCAAAACATAGACTAAATATTGGCTTTAATTTAAACATGGGCTATAAAAGAGAACTTGAGGAAAATAATTAGTTAATCTGATGTTTAATATTATAATTGTCCCATGATTCACGCGGATTTAAGTGTCCCTTTGAAACAACCGCAAACACACCATCATCATTTCGCGTCTTAGCATCCACCCTTTGATGATCTTCACCATTTTCTCCACCGTAGATTCCTTCCCCTATAAAAGACAATGACGAGAATAATGATGGCAACAAGCCGAGTCGAGTCGGCTCGCAAACCCAAGCTCAAGCTCAAGCCACATATCGTCCAAAAAAGGGCTAGAACTTTTTGGGCTCAAATCGAGTCTGGTATTGACTCGTCCCCATACATGGGGCTTAGCCCTGAGCTTTGGCTCAAGTCCTTTGTCGAGCTGAGCCAATCAACAAGCCTTTTTATTTTCTTTTACACCTGGCCATGTTAATGAGTCGACTCGTGCCACGAGCCGAAATTTTTTATAATATATTTCCTTTAGATCATTAATAAAATTGAATTAGAATTTTTTCACAGATAAATCTCGGTAGTGGTCGGCAACCTTTTGTAAGTTTAGCGTTCATGTCTCCAACCTACTATTTGTTGGGAATTTACTTAATATGCACAACAGAAAATAAATTATTTTTAAATTCTCACAACGAA